CATGAATATTCAGGACATAAGAAACAGCATGAGTTTTTAAAGGTTTTAGTTCCAACAGTTTCTAAAGCCCCAGAGTATTGCATCACTGATAATTAGATTTTGTCTTAGCCTTAAGTGGGTGTTCCCTTTTAATTCTCTAGTTACACAAATGGCTTACCACATGGCAGTTCACCCACATGGTTGCATTATGAGTAGCCACCTACATGGATGGCAGAAATGGGTCTTGGGAGAGATGAGAGGATTATATGCAAAAGCCACACACCATGAGATTGTTTGGGAGAGTAAAAGAGAAGAGGGTTTACCACAAAGCTTCCTTCTACTCATTATCATTATCAGCTCTCCTCCAGCAAAAAATCTTAAGTTCATTCTAAGTTGCTGCTACATCTAGATCTAAGATGATGACCCAGATGATTTATGATCTAGATATTTTCTCTTCACAACAAAGACTGAGATTAATTTGGAAGGGCTGCTATAGGTATAATGCAGAGTCACAGCCTGGATTTTAACAGTGTTAGTTCTATGAAGGTTACCACATTTTTAGTCTTGCCATGTTTTACCAGCACTAAGACTACAGTTGATGTTAAGATAAAGGCAAGGAGTCATACATCATGTACTGAAACTTGTTTTTATCATGCCTTATTAAGGTTAACAGCTGCAAGGATATAGTTTGCATCTTTTTCTCTTTATTAGTGGGAAGTCCAGTTTTAATTGTCCATATGACTTTCTTCCACAGTAGTTATGCTTTACCGCATTGAACCAGGTGTTTAACATGCCATCTTACAGTCAGATCAGATTGTTGATGCAGTACTTTAGCATGACTGGTTGGAATGGCCTGTGTGAGTAATACAGGAATCATTGCCTTCATTTCTACATTATAATATGAGTATACTACATTACAAATCTGATTCACCATATAGCTTCATGATTCATCCTACTCACTGCATAATCTCTGATTTACACTCTGATCTTTTCATTTTTTGTTTGAGGTGGAAGATTAGTAGCTTTCATTCACCCAATACAGGGACATGCTAAATGGTGGTCGTGGGCTGGGGAAATGGGGGAAATAAAAAAATGCTACCTTGTTTACCAGTGATAGAAATCATAGAATGAGATTTAACTAAGGCTGTGTGTTCTCCTGCATATTATGTCATGAGGCAGGATTCCTACTTCATGCATTGAAAAGCCACAAACCTTGCAGTGTCGTCTTCACAGTGCCAAAAGCACAAAAAAACCAGAATGAATCTCTGAGCATGCACAGAATGTTTTGTTGAACCCAATCCAGTATTCACCTCCAGGAACTCTCCTTATGAGCATGGCTGGACCCCATCCCTTCAGGAGGGGCCTTCTGAAAATGAACACACCATCTTTCTGTGCTCCAGTCCTCTAATTAGGCCACCCTTCTCTGCTGACCTGGCATCATGTCAAGAGCCAGGACTGCCTTCTCTTTGTTAGAGCAACTCCTCTGCTCTGAGTTCTCTCCTGCCAACAGTACATCTTGGTTCTTCCCAGAGGCTGCTTGCCCATCTGGGGAGACTGGCCTTGAGTTAAGCATCTCTGCTTTTTTCAGTGTCTCAGCGTGGCTGACATTTCTAGTCACCCGCTTGCTTCCCCTTCAGATTCTGATTGTGCTTCCTCTGAAGTCCAGCCAGCATTTCTTGAGCAGAATGCTTGTTTGCTTGTATAGTAGTTAGGATTGGTTTCTGAATGTTGTACCATTTCTTTTGTGTACATCCAGCAATTAGCCAAATAATGGCCTTTTTGTCCATGTTAAGTATAACGAGAAGAGATAAGAGGGCTTTTATGTCTATATACTTAAATGCAGTTTCAAAATCATTTGTGCTAACAAATTTCTGAAGACCTTATTGTAGACATCTGTGACTATTAAAAAGTATGCCTATCCAGTGGCTTATTTTGCCTGTTTTCTTTTTTTATAGGTCCAGTGAATTATGTGTCTCAGTTATAATCCTTTTCTCAATAGAAAACATGAACATTCTTTTACTGATACTGGCCTTTTATAGTAATGGTGACAATCTATTGTGCCTTTGTTCTTCATCTGGAATATTCAGAGAGCAGGCTCTGTGTTGCTACAGCATAGTACTCTTTTTGCATCTGGTGCTTCTTTCTGTGTCCTTTCATGGCTAGGCAAAGCCTTTTCACTTTCTGCAGGATTTTAATTTTTTATTGTTTCCTTTATTTTGTTTGTATTATTTTTATTCTGCTATTACTGATTTTCCAGTTTTGACTTATGTAGTAATTTGCTTGAGCTTTTAAATATTGTTCTTATAACATTTGAATAATTGAGATTTTAATCTTAATAATACATGCAAATAATCTGCACATGACTTTAGGAGCTGGGACAAGCACCTCTTTCTGCAAGAAGCTGCTCAGGGAATATTGTTTTCCTCCTTAGCTAACCTTAGTATTTTTTTTCATTTTTTTCTTCTCATGTTTACATGAGGAGTTGCTTTGCATTTAGCATTCTGTAGTTGGGCATTTTGTGCTCTTTTCACATCACAAAAGGTATCACTAAAACGTGTAGCCACTTACAGGGCTAAGGTTCCACCCACTAGTGGATAAAATCACTGTTCATTTTACATTTCTAAAGAACACAAGGTGGTGCTTAGTTGTGATGTTTGAAATTGGCTAAGGAAGCCATGCTCACAGAATGTCTTCGTTGGCTTACAGCTGTTGCATCTGGTTGTGGAAATGACAAGTCCCCCCCCCCCCCACAAGTCAGTTTCTCTACCAGCCACTCTGACCAGGTCCACCTGTAATATATTTTGTTACCCCCAGCAACCCCGGTGTGTAAAAACATAAGAAGCTGCCTTATACCAAATCATTTAATCCATATGTTTGATTGTATATTTAATCCATCTGTACAGTCCTTTGCATGTTTAGACCGAAAAAGGGCCTTCAGGTCCCAGTGCTGTTCAGCAGGCTGGCTGAGTAATGCTGGTGATCGTGGAGCTTTCTTCAATCCAAACATGTGTAGGATTGTGCATTCAGTTTTGTGTTTTTCCAACAGAGATAACCTGGTATCTGTAATCCATGCTTTGGTAATCTCAAGACTAGATTACTGCAATGCACTCTACATGGGACTGCCCTTAAATACTATTCAGAAGCTGTAGCTTGTACAAAATACAGCAACAAGATTAATAACTTGGACCAGAAGATGATAACGTATCACCAATGTCTGCTTGTATAGGTTGCCCGTATGCTTCCTCGTCTGATTCAAAGTGCTGGTTTTAACCTTAAGCCCTACATAGGTTGGGATCACAATATCTGACAGAACACCTGTCCCAATTGCAGTCTATCTAGACTCCATGGTCACAGTCTGAGGCCTATCTCTGATTGCCACCTCCAAGGGAGGTTCAGTTGGTGGCAACAAAGAGATAGGCCTTTTCAGTGGTGGCTCCACTTTTTGACCAGGCTTCCCACTGAGACATGCCTTGTACCAACTTCAATATCTTTTTGGTGGCAGTTTAAGATTTTCCTCTGTTGCAGGGCATTTAGTTCCTGCTATACTGGGGCTTTATCATCTTCTTAAACAGGTCTTATAATTTAAGCTGTTGTAGCTCTTTCATATGTGTTTTTAATTTTGTATAGTAATCTTTTTGTGATTTTTATTTTATTTATTTATTTAGAAAATTTCTAGGCCGCCCCATTCGCTGAAGCCTCGGGGCGGCTTACAAATAAATAAATTAAAATACATAAATAACAATATAAAATACATGTAACTGTATAAAATAATTTTTTAAAATGCTGTTTGTATTTTTATTTTATTTTATGTGTTAGAAATCATCAAGAGGGCTTTGGCTATTGAGTGACATAACAATTCAATAAATAAATACTTTTTAAAATGGTAGTGTGTTCTGTTATATACACAGAGTTGTTGAGGATAAGATTGAGAGCAGGAAGGCAAGAATGATGTAATCTGCTTTGAGTTCTTTTTAAGAAAAAGGCAGGATATAAATCTAAAAATTACTGCTATTAATCTTTTTACATCTTATTCAAACATTGTGATGCTTCAGTTTTGTTCTTTGTCCCCCTTTTTAATTGTGTGGTTTGGCGGGGGGGATTGTATTATACAATAAAAATAATGAAAAAATAAGTTTCTTCATACTGTCTTTCTCCTTTGTTTGTCTCCAAAATCACAATTTGCTATCCATTGTCAGTGCAGTTTCTCGAAGCTGATGTGAAAGGCCATTCCACCAGGAGCATGACTAATTTTTATGCATCTTATAGAGTAATCTCTGCTATTGTTTGGTGTAAAGCAGACACCTGGTCAATTCCATCAACTTTTGTGAAGTATTATGCTCCCAACATTAAAGCAAGGCAATTCTTCACTGCTTATTTTTTAGGGGATACCAACACCTTTCTAGCCTAGGAGCTAAAGGCCCTCCTATATGGGTCTGTGTAGAGAATATGCATAAGAAAATCACATTTATTACCTGAAACTGATGTTCTTTGAATAGTCATCTGTTTGTATGGCTGCATTATGTGATACTCCTTCAATGCCTCACTTATGTTTAAAAATATCATATTTTCCCAACAGTTGGATTAGAAGATGTGCAATTCTTCGGTACAGCACATGTGTTATATTTTCTGAGTGGCATGAAATTATGTATTATTTAAAAGCCAATGGAGTATTGTTTTGTGTGAACCAGGTCTTAGACTAACTCTCTGTTAGGTTACTGTTCTTTCATGTGTTTCAGTGGTGTGTACTTCAGAATAAAGGCACTTAGAATTAGTGTTTCTGGAAGTTAGCTACGTAATGATTTGTAAATTTATTGAACTGTAACCTTCCATGAATATATGATGTATGTTTTGCTAGGCACTGGAATTTAGTAGAAATGACATTTGGAGAAGAAATATACAGTGGCAATGGTAAAAATCACAAAAGGGAAGATATGCCTACCAGTCATTAAAAAAGATTATTAAATAGGTGACAGTATTTGAAAAAGATAGTAATTAACACCAATCTTCTGCTTTTATTTCAGTTATTTGTCATCTTCCTTGTATGAATGGAGGCCAGTGCAGTTCAAGAGATAAGTGTCAATGCCCTCCTAATTACACTGGTAAGCTTTGTCAGATCCCAGTGCAGAGTGGCAGTGCTCCAAAACTGTACCATAATCCACAGCAAGCAAGTAAGGCCGTGGGATCACATGTCATCCATTCCACGCATACTTTACCACTGACTATGCCTGGGCAGCAAGGAGTAAAAGGTAAACATTTTTCTCTCTTCTTTTTGTGGCAAGATTTCCCTGTTAGCTGTTTACTTTTTAATTTTGGATACCACCAGATATGGGCATAACATCTTTCCACATAGGCTTTGAATTCCAACCATATTTAAAGCTATCAGAATGACTGACTTCAGGCCTAGTTTTGGAATGGAAGCTGCTTTGATGGCCCGGATAAACTTTGCTGAAAGAGGGTCAGCGGTTTGTAACCCTCTTGATTCTCTTGAACCTTCTGGGGGCTTTCAGTGTCATTGACCATGGTATCCTTGTGGATTGGTTGTGTAGGAGTGGGAGGCACTGCATTGCAGTGCTTCTGCTCTTATTTCACGGCTGATTCCAGAAGGTGTGGCTGAGGGGTTGCTGCTCTTCCATAACTGGCCCTTAGCAGCTTTTGTATGAACTTTTGTAAGGCTCCCTTCTAGGTGTGGGATTAAATTTAGCAGAATCAGACTAGCATTCACAGACTTCCTCTTGTGTTCAACTCAGCCGTAGAAAGCAACCTGAGTTAAGAAGAAGTCCTTGAATGCTCACGATACAAATGTCACAGCCTTGTTTTTCATGTCAGGTTCAGCAGCACGTGGGCAGCTGCAGCTGGCATGAAAGAGGTGCACTGCTTGTACAGAGGTCACACAGAGTTCCATTCCTGATGAGCCCCACATGAACAGTATTCTTCCATGTCAGAGGCAGCAGATTATGTGAGGTGGAGGAAGGACACTCCTTGCACAGTTTGTGGGATTCAGTTCCTGGAAGCACCACACAAATGCTGGATGCAAACCGTAGTCCAGGGAGCCAAGGACCAGTTCGGAGAGCCAAAAAAGATTCCCATCCGCAAAACAGATTCTTCACACATCCCTACTCTGTTCTTTCTCCAGTTTTGTTTGCCATTAATCATGTGGGTGATACTCAGATCTATTCTTCAATTTTATCAAATCCAGTAAGGCAGTGCTTGTATTGAATCCTTACTTGGGCACATTAGTGGACTGGCTAAGGACTGATAAACTGAGACTCAGTTAGACAAGACAAAGATACTCTTAGAGGATGACCAACTAAGTGATTTATCCTGTTCTTGAGGTGGCTGCAGTTCCCCTAAAGGATTAGATTTATACTTTGTGGATGCTGTTAGACCAGTCATTGTCTTTAGAGTCACTAGTCAACTGAGTGGCACAGAACACTTTTATCAGTTTAGACTGATATTTCAACTTTGATTTTGTAGACTGAGACAGACCAGTTGCAATTACCCATGCTCTGGTAACAGCTCATCTTGATTAATGCAATGTGTTATATTTGGAGTTTCCTTTGAAAATGTCTGGAAGCTTCAGTTGATCTAAAACAGGGGTCTTAAACTCAACTTACCTGGGGGCCACTGGAAGTAGAGTCTGGGTGAGGCTAGGCTGCATCAAGTATTCCACCACCACGGTGGTGGTGGGCCGCTCATCCGGAGGCCGGCCTGGGCGCCGCCGGCACTTTGAAGGCTGCAGGGCCCCTCCCCCGTGCCCTGCCTGTCCCAGCAATTGTCCCGCGGGCCGTGAGTTTGAGACCCCTGATCTAAAATAAGGCAGCGGTATTACTAATGGGGCTGGCCAATGTGATATTATGCCAGTACTTTATGGTCTGTACTATCTGCCAGTCCACTTCTAGGCTTGATTCAAAGTGCTGGTATTAAGATAGAAAACTGAGAAAGCTTGAAGCAAAGTTACCAGAAATATCATACTGTCCTGTATGCATCCTGCCCAGATACTAAGATTGTCATCACTGACAGTCTTTAGGAATCACTGCCAAATGGGGGTGGCCACTGAAAAGAGTACCTTTTCTATTCAGAGCTTGCCAAAGAAGCTTGTCTGGTTTGGTTTGGTTTGGTTTGGTTTGGTTTTTGGCTTACATGCTCAGTTTCATTCAGAGTGGCTTAAATACAACTGGGCACCCATTCCATAATTCAGCACCACTTGTATGTTGTATTGTCTGACCCCAAGAGTGGTTGTTGGCAAGTTAAAAAACCAGCTAAAACTGATGGGCTATTTTAATAACCCATTTATTGTGGATAGTTTGTTAACCATGCCAACAACCTCCCCTTTATGACCTCAGATCGTTCATCACCTTACAAGTGCAGGTTGGGTTACAGAATAAGCACCCATTGGTGCCTGGCACATACCACAAAGTACAGACATTTAAGCCACTGTGGCTGGAAAATATTGCATAAAGTAAGACACTATGGAAGCAGTGAGCATATTCTTGTTAATTTTTATTTTTGTAGAGCTTAACAACAGATTTTCCTGCTTGGGAGTTCTCTTTATTTTTCATTCTTGGTTTTTTCCCAGTGAAATTTCCTCCTAACATTGTGAACATTCATGTGAAACATCCCCCTGAAGCTTCAGTGCAGTTTCATCAAGTTTCAAGGATTGATAGCACCTCAGCAGGACAGAAAGCCAAGCCAAAGCCCTCCCAGTCAGGACATTCCCAGGTTTATCAAAGTCTGCCATTTCAGAAGAAGATACATTCAACCTACACACAGCAGCAGCCTATTTCTCATATGTACCCTATTTCTGCTAAAACTCAGCTTGGACGATGCTTCCAGGAGACTATTGGGACACAGGTAAGATTTTTTTTTATTTTAAAAATAACTAATTAATAACTTATTAAAACCAAAGTTGGCTTGATTCGTTAGGTGTTCAGAACACCTGCTTTTACAAATGAATTAATAACAGTTAATATAGTTGCAAAAATAATAATGGTGAGTAATCTAGGTGCAAAAATATTAATCATGAGTTATCCAAATGTCCGAATTTATTGGAATTGCAAAATTAAAGTAATAGACCTGGGAAATATGAACCTTTTTCCCCTTCAGAATTGTCATTCAGTCACTGATTTTTGGAAATGAAAGCATTATGTTAATATTAACATTTATTTTTATAATATTATGGAATTATTCCCAACATAGTCCCTGTGTTCCAACCTTGAAGCTGGGAATAGGAACTCCAGTCCTATTCCCCATGCCCTGGCAACTGATACAGACCCATATGAGTTGCCCCGTAAGGTTGGGAAGTGTCCTTAGAGAGGAGTTAAATGGAAGAAGGTGAGGACACGGGAGACTTCATTTCCTCCAGGTGCCTTCCCTCTGTTTTGAGATGCTATCTCTAAATGGTCAAAAACTGCCATCTAGTGAAAACGCAAAGCAGGAGGACTGGAGAAGGGAAGACTCACAACCAATTTGGGTCACGACCAGAGTCCTGGAACGGATTAAATTCATGAGCCAAGTTTCCACTGTAATAGCTATATTCCAAATTTCTGTATACCAATCAGACAATGGGTAATCATATTTTACTTACCAATTCTTAGCTATAATTAATCTTGCTACAGTTATTAAATTTATTATTAATTCTTTATTGTTCCATCTTGGTTGGTTTTTTTAATCAAATTCTGAAACTAATGCAATTCTAGGGCATACAAGTCTATATATATTTAGACTTATTGTTGTACTACACTCTTTCAAAAGCTCTTTCCAACATTTCATTATATAGTCACATCCCCACCATATACGGAAATATGTACCCACTTCACGACCACATCTCCAACATAAATTGGAGTATTTGTTATCTATACAGTTCAACTTCACTGAAGTTAGCTACCACTTCCATATAGTTTTGTAGAAATTTTCCTTTATTCTTACCAACATACGGTTTAATATCCTCTTCCAAATATTTTCTCAGTCTTCATTACTGATATTCCTTCACAAATGTATTTCCCATGTTACTTTAAGTGAAGGTTGTACCCTTAATGAAATGTCTTGCCATTAGAAAAAAATAATAAAATGTGTAGCTACAATATCCTTTGTGATCCGCCCCGAGGCTTTGGTGCGATGGGGGTGGCATAGAAATGTTTTAAATAGATAAATAAATATTTTGAAAACTTCAAAGTGTTAGAACATACGGAGGTTAACGTACAAAGTACAAAGCTATGCAGAACAGTTTCTGATTTTTTTTTTAAAGCATCTGCATTCTGGCATAATTATTCCTCAAAAATAGATTATACCTCAGGACATTCTTTTTTTAATTAATCCTGCTAAATATTTGTGTTTACCGTTTGTTAGGATTCTTGGCCTTTTGATTATTAACAATATATTAAAAGGACAACTACAGATAATACCAGTCATTGCATAATAAACCTTTAGAACTGACAGCAAACAGAGATACTGGATTTTGGGAAGGAGACCATTCTGAATGAACAAAGCCCTGCTCTTTGCCTTTACTTATTATACCTCTTTGTCGGAGAAACACAGAACAGGGCTTGTCTTCTTAAGCAGGGGAAATAATTTGCTTGGAGATACTCTGCACGAGTATGATGCTTTCAAACCAGAAAGGCCTCTTTAGGAAGATAATGATCAAATCCTTTAATTGTGTGCTGCTATCAGTACTACGCGTAGTATCGGTGCAGTTAAGATAGCTTCACTTTTATAGGTGTATTACTTTGGAAAGATGAATCTTATTCTGGTGCAGTTGCCAGCCTTCTTTCCAGAAAGTTGTTCTGAAAAGTATGAATGAATATTTTTGACTCCTCAACTGCCCTTCCCTTCCTGTGTGAGGCTCCCTTACAGGAAATGAGTTCTGAAATTCTTCCACATTGGTTTTCAGAGCAAATTGGCGCTTTCTTTTAGTTATTCTCTTAATGTGGCTGCCTTCTCATATTTTTAAAATGTGTTTCAGTATACTATTGGATTCTTTTGTTTCTTTCTAGACGACGCTTTTTAAAACATGGTGGTTTGCCTGTTGTTTAATTTTCAAAGAATTTTTTTTTATACTTCAGATTTTCTAACACATGGGTTAGTGTTACTTCAACAAAGCACTTTCCCAAACCAGACACTGTTTTTAATGATATAACTTTACATTCTACATATGTGGGTCAAATAGGTAGCTTATGAAAAATACATAGAACAAATGCTTAAGATAATCAAATAGGCTATTATATATCAACTGATTACTGATTATCTTTAGTGTGGTAAAACCCCAAATGTGCCAGATAGCATGTCAACATCCAAACATACATCTGCAGTGATTATTTCAAAAAGCTTTATAACATAAGTTATCTTGGACCTCTTTTTCCCTGGAAAATGTCCCTGAACCCAGTTAAAATAGTCCAGAGCATAAGAATGCATAATTGCAGCTTTATGGCAATTTTGCTTTTACTTATTTTAATAAAAATATTAAGGTCAAACAGTTAAGCACCATCTCTTACTATATATGAGAGAACAAATTGGATGGACATATACATGCACTCAAACAAAGATTGCAAGTAGGGTTATCCTAGGGCATATTATTAAAGTGGATTGGTATGCATCTATTGTTCTCTAATAACAAGGCTGTATATGGAAGCAGTTCTGAGCTTGCTGCTCTGGAACCTTCTATTGCTTAAGCATTTCATTTTCAGTATATAATAATTGGTTCAGGAATTATTCTAATGGTTGTCACAGTACTTTGCCCAGAGAACAGAAGTTTAATCGTCTTTATTTTTCTTAATGTATTTTTTTCTGAACCTCAAGGCATATTTCAGGGAAATCCATCAAATCTTTCTGTACTTTGCTTTGCCATTTTAAAAGAAAATTAGAGTAAACTCAAAGTAAATTCTTATGCACCTTAGCTTTAGGAATGGGTGTTCTATGTCTCACTTAGTATCTCTACTACTCTTGGGAACCTATAGATACCATAAAGCCATGTTAATATTGGAGTGTTTATTTGTTAAAAAAAATCCTTACAGAGTAACTATCATCTATTAATTCAAACATTCTTCAAAAACGTTGAGTGTTTATGGAAACCTTTGATTGATGAGACATGCTTTTCTTTGGAGATAAGTTTTTTTGCCAAAACAGTAGATTTGGTCTTTTTCCAGGGCAGCTTCTGTTGTTCGAGAGGTAAAGCCATCTTTCCATTTAGCTCAAAGTTATGGTCCTATAGGGACATTCGTAAACCTTTTTTGTAACATTTCAACTTTCATAAAAAGTAAAGGTAAAGGTTTCCCCTTGACATTAAGTCCAGTCAAGCCTGACTCTAGGGGATGGTGCTCATCTCCGTTTCCTAGCTGAGGGAGTCAGCGTTTGTCCGCAGACAGTCTCTGTGGTCATGTGGCCGGCATGACTAAACACCGAAGTGCACGGAATGCTGTTACCTGCCCACCAAAGTGGTACCTTTTTATCTACTTGCATTTGCATGCTTTCGAACTACAAGGTTGGCAGGAGCTAGGACGGAGCAACGGGATCTCACCCCGTTGTGCAGATTTGAACCGGCGACCTTTCAATCTACCAGCCCAGCAGCACAGAGGTTTAAACCGCTGCGCCATCTACAGTCCCTCAACTTTCATGCATTTATGCTAAATGGAAAATACAGAAAGTGGTTTCTAAAAGACTGTACAATTTAACGCAGAGCTTTCCATGAAAATACTACTTTATTGTGTTTGCAGATTGCTAGCTATGATACAATCCTGACCATTATGTCCATTTTGATTGAGCATCAAGTTGTTCTAACTGCAAACACTCTGAGACTTGACCTGGACATTTTAAATGAGAATGACTGGAAAAAAAATCATATTTTTATTCTGCTTCGTCCTTGGTTTCAGATGAGTGTGGGTACTAGTAATTGAATTACTGTTTTTTGAATTCTGTTTACTAACTTTAAGGGTCTTATCCAGTCTTAGTTCTACTTGGTGTAGACCCACTAAAATGAATGGGCTGTAAATTAGAATAACATGAAAGACCACTCTATATTCTTTACTTAGGGGGCCTTGGTATTATGAAGCTTTTGAACTAGTGGAGTTCACATATCTGAGATCAGTATTTGTAAAGCTCAGAATATTAGTAAGAATTAGCACATGAGGTTATTCTTCCAAAGCAATGATTTTCAACAGTGAGAATTTATTTTTAATGTGTCAAGAAAAAGAAAAGTATAGGCGGGATGTGGATAGAGACAGAAGAGCTTAAGAAAGAAGTAGAAAACAGAGGAAATAGCATTGGATTTGCTGGAAAGTACCAGTACAAACTTTGCCATCACTCCACTATCCAACTGCTATCTCGATGCCTGTTTACGGAATACATCTGGCACAAAGCAAGCCCTGGGCTTGAAGCCAGAGTTGGCTCTCTGAAAATACCCAAAGGGGGTGGAGGGGAAATGGCAAAGAATAAAGAGGGAAAACCAGTGAGAATAATGGAGATGGCGGGAAAACTTGTTTTGAATATTTTATTCTATTAATTCCAGATTGACAGTCTGTGTTGTTTCAGAATTGTTTGGCATATGCTGGTAGGCCTTAAAAGCCAGGTGTTCAGGGACAAGACTGCCCTTCACACTATGTCAGAATTCATTTTGTGAGAATAATCTGCTTTCTTCTTTTAAAAGAGCTCTCTAATTCTAGTTTTCATAGGCAGATTCTAAGATCTACAATATAATAACACTTTTAGAGCAAAACATATATAAATCAATTTCTTTGGAAAATGCTTATCCTCCTTACATGGATACTTACCCAGAATTCCAAGAGGAATAACTTCTAGTAAGTGCATGTTCTCCTTTCATGACATATAATGGGGGTACATGGAGCTCATCCCGCCTGCCCCTT